AAAAAAATCAATTAAGGGAAAATAGCAATTTTCATACCCAAATTAAAGGATAAGTTCAGTGTCAGTACCCTACATTCACACTATACACTATACTACTTTAAGTAGCTATAATATAAAACAACTAACAATTTTGGTACACCGACCGTCAAGTCCCCTTTAGAAGTTAACGGAGCTGATGAAATTGAAGGGAAATGAGCAAGCTTTTTGGCACTTGTACTGCTTTTACAGGCAATCCAATCGATACCTTTTTTTCGCACTTTTTTTGTTGTGTGCCTCTCCGTTATTTCTTCTTTTTTTTTTTTCAGACATTAAAAATATATTTAAGAAATTAAAAATAAAAGAAACTGGGAGAAAACGGGTGCAGATCCACTAACATGAAGCGCACCAAAGCGGGAAAAGCCCATATGAAGCTCAAGTGGAGTTCCATCCCAAAACCAATTGGTGGAAGGAGGAGTAGTCCATTAGACTTATAAATTGAATCTATTTTTCCATGTATGAACGATGTGGGACAACTCACAAGTGATATTCTAACACGCCCCTCACTTGTGAGTCCTTCGGAAGCCCAAGTCCATCTGGCTGGGTGACAGGTACGTCATCGCATGGTCACCAATAGAACCGGCTCTGATACCATGAAAGAAACTAGGGGAAAACAGGTGCGGACGCACTAACATGAAGCACACCAAAGCGAGAAAAGCCTATATGAAACCCAAGTGAGGTTCCATCCCAAAACCAATTGGTGGAAGAAAGAGTAGTCCATTAGACTTATAAAGTGAGTCTATTTTCCATATATGAACGATGTGGAACAACTCACAAGTGATATTCTAACAAAAAAAATAGAAAGACATGGTGTCTCTTAGAGTAATAATTTTTCATACCAAAAGTGTTTGTGTTTTTGTGGTGAAGAGCTCATGTTGAAGACATCATGGACAAAAAGCAATCCCAGAAGAAGATATTGGGCATGCCTAAAATATGGGGTTTAAGTTTTTAGTAAATCTCATATTTGTTATCATAATTTTAACAAATATTTATTTTTCTGCAGACAAATGAATATTGTTGATTTTACAAGTATATGGATCTGAAATGTGTGCTCGTTCCAAATAAACAGTATAGAGATTGCTTTAAAAATTGAACAAGCTTGAGAATGAACTTAATAATTTCTTGATAAGAGAAAGAAAACTTGAAACTGAATTGAGTAAAAGCTAATAGCATGAGAATGACGACTGAGAAACAACTAACTGCTATAAACAATGAGAAGAAAAAATTCATTATAAAGAAAAGGCTCTTTTTGCTACTTGTTATATATTATGCACTCTAAGTAGCCAAAACTAGCATATGCAGCATAAGTAGCAAGGTTATTTTTTAGGTCGATAAAATTATTACTTTTAATTTCAATAACCTATTATCCGATTATAACTTAATCAACCACATACAAATTCAAGTCAAAAGAACATATTATCTCATAACAACTCAATCAACCACATGTAAGTTTTGTAACTTAATCAACCACGTACAAATCCAATTCAAAAGAACATATTATCTCATAAGTCATAAGAACTCAATCAACAACATCTAAATCCCCGCCAGCGTGGCGATCCGCTCCTTCAACTGCCAGCCAATCACACTCCATTTACGATTTCCTATATAAATATACACAGTTTCAACATCGCACTCAAAAGACTAGGGTTTCGTTGTCAATCACCATTTGCGCAGCCGGAAAATGAGCTCCAACGCGTCGACGAAAGGCGGCAGGGGCAAGCCCAAGTCTTCTAAATCCGTTTCCCGATCGTCCAAGGCCGGACTGCAATTCCCGGTCGGGAGAATCGCGCGTTTTCTGAAGACTGGAAAGTACGCCGAGCGTGTCGGCGCCGGCGCTCCTGTTTACCTTTCCGCCGTCCTCGAATACTTGGCGGCTGAGGTGTGTTTTCACTTATTTGATTGTTCCGATTGCAGTATTTTTTGCTTTATTTGTTATGCTACAGCATTGTCATTTGATCTATTGATACCATAATTACCATTGTTCTACTAGTTTTATTCTTGAGATTTGGACTTCTTTTAATGCGCAGCGATTCTCGATTATTCATGTATTGCGAGATTTGGCAGTTGATAGGTTTTTTCTGTTTGATCATGTGATTAGAGAGCTATATTTTGATTTTGTGTGGATTAAAGAAATTAAGGAGATGCTTAAGATCATTAATTCTCACTGGTTTTGCTAAAAATTCTGTGATTTTCTTTTGGTGTTTAGCATTGTTGTTCAGTTAATACATATTTTGTCACATTTGATTATGCGATCAGAGAGCTTTCAATTGATTTTGTGAGAATTATTAAAATTGGAGAAGATGCAGAAGATTGTTGTTTCTTTTTTTGGTTGTAAATCTCTGTTAGCAATTTTGAGTATTTGACAATGATGTTCAACCAATCCAACTTTTTTTTGTCGAACTTTATACAGGTATTGGAGCTTGCGGGGAATGCAGCAAGGGACAACAAGAAGAATAGGATTGTACCCAGGCACATACAATTAGCAGTGAGGAATGATGAAGAATTGAGCAAGTTGCTGGGCCATGTGACAATTGCAAATGGTGGTGTGTTGCCAAATATTCACCAGACATTGTTGCCCAAGAAAACTGGGGGTAAGGGGGACAAAGAAATTGGGTCTGCATCACAAGAGTTTTAGGCCTTTTGATATGTAAGGAAACTGGTGGTAATTGGCTCTGCATCACAAGAGTTCTAGGCCTTTTGCAATCATTTGATGGGATATGATGAAAACTTTTTAATTGAACCTCAGTTATGAGTTGAGTATGAATATAATATATAGTGGCATGTTTGTGTTATTAATTTATGAAGGTTTCAACAGTGTTGAGACTGTGACTGGTTCGGGTGAGTTGTTTGGATGGAGTAGCAAGGGACCTAATGAAAACCTAATCGATTGGTTTCAACCCGGTTGATCTCGGTATTTATATGGTTGCAGAGAAAAAAATAAAATAAATAGAAATAATCTAACTTACGCTTAAAATGTTTGTTTTGCTTTGTTGTTTTATTCTATTTTTTAATTATTCCATGAATTATAATTGAATATTTTCTTTAATGATCTTGATTTATTTACATATTTTAAAAAAATAAATACTAATGTATTTTACAACAATATAATTTGATGGAGAGAAAAAAAAAATGAGTAAAGCTTGTTTTAATAATAACAATTTGTGAAGAAAAAATAAAAACATTAGTAAAAGAATTTAAATGGAATAATATTCATTATAATTATTACTAGGTGAAATATGTAAGGAATCAATTATTTAATCGAACATTTGTATCAAATTATCTCATGGCTTTAGCTTCACGTTTTTTTTTTTCTTTCTTCTTTGTTCTTACATTCTTTTTTATATATTTTTACAATTTTTTACTTTTTTATCACACTTTTAAAGTTTTAATTATGTTTTCATCATTTTATTATTTTTTTTTCAGAGTTTTTCAATACCAATCCTCCCTAATTTTTTTTTTAACACTACTAAGATTATTTATTCTTTCCTTTTTCGTTCTCTTTTGAGATTCTTTCTACTTGAATTTGATTTCTAATTGTATTTGTTTGATCAGTCGAATCCTTCATTTTCTTTAGCCTATTAATTCAGAACGTGCTGAGTGTAAGTGGCAGACTCGCATGCTTCGAGATCATACGTGGCAAAATTACATGCTTCATTATTAAACTTGGTTAGATAAAAAATAATTAGGTCCGAATTATACATAAATATATTGATTATTTATGATCATGTTACATGTATTAATTGAATCTTAATATCATTTCTTATTATAACTATTGAATTGTAAATGTATTTTAAAAGTTAATAACTTTTATATTTTTTATCAGTTCTACATATATAATGGTAACGCAAAACACTCCGACCGGCTTGAAATCAGCTTGCCTCCTTCTTCCTCGCCGGTAGACCGCCGCGTTCCTGCACAGAACTCTCACACCGGAGGGGTTTTCCGGTGAAGAGCCTCCGATGCTTAAGTCAGTATGTGTTTGTTCAATTTTCCAAAATAAAGAATGGATAAATCGTAGGCTATAAGAAAAGACCCACTCCCATATATATAGAAGTGAGATACCTGCCCTAAAAACTGCCCGACTTTTGGTGAGCTGTCCTGCCCGTACTGCCCGTCCGTACACACATAGTGTGCGTGTGTCAGAGATGTCAGGGGTGGTTTTCGCCACTATCACTCTGCATCAATATATTCTCGCCACGTGTCCCTCTGAGCTGAGGGAGATTATTCTTCTGCGCAGGCCGTTGGATCTTCTAACGTCATCCACGCGCCTTCTCGCGTTCAAGCCACGCTCTAGACTGCTCTTCACCTGTTGAGTGCTCGATCTCCTCTCTTTTGGTCGATCCTCGACCAGTTCTGCTATTTTGCTCGATCTCCTTCTTTTTGGTCGATCATCCTTCTACCAATCCGGTTTTCTCCACTTCGAGGTTGCTCGACCGATGATGCAAACCGGTCTATTCCTCAGCTATATAATATCCCATATCATATAATATATCAAATTAATTATCTTTGATGGATTTCGATTTAACATCCTTATTGTATGTATAAAAAAAATAAATTATATTTATCTTTATAACAGTAATAATTTTGTTTTTAATATTAATTAAAGAAATAAAATTATTTAGCAATTAATATATTTTTAACTTAATAAATGAGAAAAATTTTAAAAAAATAATTTAAATATTATTAATCACTTCTTTATATACAACATTAGTGGCTTTCAGATCGTCAGAATCCCCATCACAACAAATCATTATCGTTACATCTCTTCGACTCGTGACTATAGAATTTGATTTTTCAAAATTGGATTAATTTTATTACTTAAATATTTTTTAGTACTTAAATAAAAATAATATTAAAAGATATAATTAATTTTATTCCAACCTTACTTTGTTTTTGGCGTATGATCAATAGACTTTCCGTATTAAAATTTCATCTTAATTTTTAAATCCCTAGATTATTATATTTCATTTAATTATTAAAAAATTAAAGAGGAAAAATTTGAAAAGGTGTGTAATAATAGTTGACTCTCGGGCCAGTAGGGATTTCCTTCACCTTTCCCAAAATCTCTACTGTTATCTTATAAAAAGGTAAAAACCCTACTGATCATTTTTAAAGCTTGATGAGTTTATTTTATCAGCAGATATAAATAAAAGAAAGAACCACTAATAAAAACAGTTTCTTTCTTCTTCGTCCTTTTTGTTTTATTTTCAAGAAAACAAACTAAATTATCTGGCAACCACTACCAGTGTGAAGGCTCCAGTTTCCGGTGGCAGCCCACCTCTGGATCCCACTTTGTTTTCCCTCTGTAATCCATCTTTTGAGGGTTTCCATTTGCCCTTATTTTTGTCCTGGTTTGAATTGTTCGATTATTCAGTGAGCTGTGTTTGCATCTTTTGAGTAGCTAAGCATTTTCCGGCTGATTGATTTGCCAATCAGTTTCTGGGTGGTGATTTGTTGATGGGATCGAAGCCATGGCTTTACCCGGCTCCGGCCTACCGACCTCTGGAGAGCTATTGGGACAGTGACGACGATGCGCCAGGGCCGCGTTGTGGTCACACACTCACCGCCGTCTCCGCCACTAAAACCCATGGCCCCCGCCTCATTCTGTTCGGCGGGGCCACCGCCATTGAGGGAGGCAACGGCGGAGCTCCCGGCATTCGTAATCCTTCTCCTTCGT